ATTTAAATAATGTAAAGAAATATTTCAGTCATAGTTCCGATGAAGAAGAATAATACTAAGACTGCCATGTTTCTATAATATCGCACTTTTAAATAAAATTAAAAAAAAAAAAAAAAAAAAAGAGAAAACACTTTTAGTTCACTAAAAAAAAAAAAAACACTGCACATAAATAAAATAGCTTTCACTAACCTGTAGTTGATTCTCCATGATGAATATAAAACAAGTTCTTTAGTAAAACCAGAATTTGGTGTGCGATTTTTCTCCCCGAGTAGGTTTATTATACATATTATTATTAGTAAGTTCTCGTAAGAAACTTTTAAACCAAATTAGTCCTTTCGTAATGTCCGACGCTGTAATAATAATAATAATATTATTGGATTTATTTTATTTAAAAAAAATAATAATGAGAAAAAAAAATGGCGTAATGACGCCTGACGCATATTTTAAATATGAGTTATTTTATATTATGCTGTTACTTTAACGTTATTGTTATTATTTAATTTTCTGAAATACATTAATACATATTAATAATTATATAACTTAAAATATAACTTAAAAGAAAATATAAAATGTAAAATTTTATATTAAAGCAACACAAACGTTTGAAATAATACTAACAACGATACAAGAATATGGCGGGACACATACTAAACGCGACGAGAATCGAAAACCTGTGTAGGGCGATTTTATCACGATACTCTTAAGACAGGTGCACGCTGGACCAACGGAAGGTCGACAATAAAAAAACCGCATTCCTATTGGGGTGTTACAACGTTGTCACATTGTATTCAAACCGTTTTCGGTGACACACGTAACACACACGACCAGTTTAAACCACTTACAACGAATAGAAAGGGCAGGCCAGTTCATTGAGAACCGTACTGTAATATTCAAGTATTATAAACGTTTGGTATTTTCTGTATAACAGATACCTTGTTAAAAAAAAAAAAAACGTAAAATTACGACTACGGTTCCAAAACATTTAGGACATCTTATATAATTTTAAACAAGGGGTTCTATAAAAAATGTCTTTTAACGCATTGTTATATCATTTCTTTTCAATAACTTGGACAAACGGAAAAAGCTAATAAATAATGTTCCACTATCTAATTACTTAATTCCCATTCCTAGAAAATAATCTTTTTTACCTGTATTTTTGTTCCAATGAAAAAAAAATTGTGAATCAATTCTTATTGTGTCAAATTTTGTTTTGATCACTATAATAATAAAAGAATTCGATTAAAATTTCAGCACAATACCGCTACTATTTATAGTACGACTTGTTAAGTCAACCACGCCTTATCAAGATGACAGACTGTTAACCACTGCGGGTTTACTGTATGAAAGTTTGGGACAAATGAGAGTTCAACAAACAACTTACGATTTTACCGCATATCTAGATTTAAGCTATTATAATACTAATTCAGACCAATTAAAACTACGTATTACCGAATTAAAAGAATATTGTAAAAATTATGATAATCGCACCTTTGAATGGAATTCAATAAATAATGTAACTACTACTGATAAAACTCTATTACAGCGATGTGCCTTTATAGTAGATAAAATAGATTTTATTCGCGAAGAAGTTGGGCGAAAAATAGATTTAAGTCTAAAATCTGTAGGGCATACTAGAGTCAAAAATCGACGTGCTATACCGTGGTCAGTTTTGGCGAAAACAGCTAAGACCATCTTTGGGCTTTGTAGCGATACATGCTTAGAAAAATCCGAATCTCTTATAAAAAATTATCTAGACGGAGGCGAAACAGCCTTGCCGCAAAATACTAGAGTATTTAAAATATTACAGAATGTCAAACCTGGTCAAACTTTGCCACCACAAATAAAACCACCTTCCGACACCTATACCACCGGGATAATGGAATTATTCCGCTTAGGTAATGTCGCTGAAATTGAATTGTTATTATCACAATACATTTATGAATCTAATCTCATATTTGAAATACTACAGTTAGCACGGTTAGGTCAACTTCATTCTAGTTTAATAAGTATTGACGAACTTCAGACGCAATTTGTTTTTATAGCAAACCAATTGGAATCAAATACTCAGCTTCCATTTGATACTAGTCTTGATCACTTAGCTGAAACAATTAAATTATCACAAATTATCATTTATTATGCTGATGGGAAAATTGTATTTAAAATAAACTTGCCCGTACTTCTAAAAGATCGTTTACTTTTGTATCACATTCTTCCTTTGCCAATTTGTAATAACCAGACTTGTATGTATATTAAGCCAAAATTTCATTATATCGCTGTAACAAACAATCATGAACGATATTCGACATTCGAAAAAATTGATCAGTTAAACTGTAAACGAAGCTCAAATTTCTTACTATGTGACGAATTATATCCACTCCATGCTTACAGCAAATTGCAAGTTTGTGAGCTTTTACTATTAAAACAACAAAGAATTGTTCCTAGTAATTGCAAAATCCTTTATAACAGAATAACCAGTACTATTTTTTATAAATTTACAAATAAAAATAAATGGCTTTATATTTCGCCTGGAGAGACCATTTTTATAGCCTGTGGTGATCACCCCGCAGAACGGATACAATTAGAAAATAATGGGATCCTAAGTTTAAATTCTTCTTGTAGAGCCTACAGCGATCAAGATGTATTAATTGCAGGAAAAGAAATTATTTCTGAAGGATATAATGATTTTATTGCTAATATCACCATGCCAGAACCAACATATTTGAGTTCAAGGTTTAATAACCACTTTTTAAATGCCTTTCACACACAAGCTCGTTCAATTAGTGATCTTTTAACTAACGGGGAGTCAACAAGACAACTCGAAGCAGAAGCCGATATTTTTCATGTACCATTTATACAAAGTATATATGAATACGTTTTGTTAGGTCTCAGCATAGCTAACTTAATAATAATTCTAGTAGTGTTATATATAAATGATATATTACAGTATAACCGCTTAAGGCGAGCACGAGCCAATAGGATTGGGCAAGCCGTGCGCGCGGGAGAGGAAATACCTTTATAAAAATATTAAGTAACAAAATAACAAGTAGCAAGTAGAGACATATAAATATTCAAATATATATATAAGAAAAATCATGGTGAAGGACGACTAATATACGTATGACGTTATATCTGTAGTAATATAATGAAACCTGTTTTAGCGCAAACATAAAGATCATAGTAGCCGATTTCGAGTTCCTGCCGAAAGCCAACAGTGAATATGTCACTGTGTCGGGCTGCCTGTTGTCAACGCACAAGAATAATGACCCCGTGAAGCTATCGGGAATTCCGGTAGTGGTAACCAAAACTTGTGCGCCACGACGGGCCACGGAACAGGAACTCAGGTCGCTTACTCGACAGTGCAATAGATTTAAGACAACGAAACCAGCGTTTGGCTCGTTATTAAACGAGCTAAATAAGGGACTGTGTCAGAAGGGACCCTCAACGATGAATTTATCCTCCATCTCAAAGTATATCCACAAAGGTTCAAGGAAACCCATCGTAGTTTTTTGGAACGGTAACCATGACTACAAAATATTAAAGCAAATGGGACTGAAAAATGTCTATAAATACTTGAATATGACCGCCTGGGATAATAACAACGACGGGCGGTTCAATTTAAAATTGCTAAACATGGAGACCGGAAAAATCTATTACGATGAGTTTCTAGGGGTGGTAACGAAGGGAGGAAGGGATCTGAACCTAAAGGAAGCTCACGAATTAACATGTATAGAAACACACTCCCCCCATATGAACTTTCATGATCCAGTTTTTGACACGGTGGCTTCCCGCTGTGTTTTAAATTATATTATTAGAAAGTTAAGGCCAATTAGATTTTACAGATTAATTAAGGATATGCCTAGTATAAGAAAAAAGAAAAACAAAAAAAGAAAAAAAAATATAACTAACATTACGAAATAAGTAGCATAAGTATTACTAACATTTAAATTCTAAAAATATATGTTTTAATGTTCTAGGTGAATGGAAAACTTTCCTACCTACATTAGCATTAGTACATTAGACATAATGAGTACGAGCAATCCCCGTATAGTCTTTATGAAAAAAATCATAAATTGTGCTTTAAACAATTGCACTAACCATCTTGCACCCAGACACACATTGAAAACCATAATAGCTGAAGTAAATTCAGAATTAATTATAAAATTTGATGAGCAGTATTTGAAAAACTGTGAAAGGGAAATTACAAATTTAATGAGGGAACTTTATGGGTCGTTACGACCATATAACATTTCAATGGCACTCGTTATCGCGGCCATAGAGGGGGATAACCTATTAGATACATTTTTTGAACATGAAAATGTAACAGATGTAACAAAGTATTTTATTAACATACTAAGGATTGACACGGTCGGGTATTGCCATCACCGCGGCCTGGACTATTACCCGGACCGCGATGACAATACCCGGCCGGGCCGTGCTTCCCTAATTGCCCATTAAGCAAAACCCCGGCGCAGCTTATCAGCAATGTTGACCGCCGCCGGTAACATAAATACGGCCGTCACCGGACCGCCGTGCATCAATAGTATTATTATTGTCGTGTGATACTATAGCGTAATTGAATAAACGGTGACTAACGTACACAAGTGTTGTTATTTTAATTATTACTAAGGGTTTAATTACTCCGAACGTCTACGGCCACGACAATTGGCGCAGTCGGTAGTTTTACAAATCTTGAGAAAAAAAAAACCGTAAGTACAACATTTTATTTAGTACAATTGTTTTTTTCCACGACCAAAAATTTTTTTTTTTAAGTGAAAAAAAAATTAAATAAATAATTTTAAGCGGCGCAGTGAACGGGTGTACGCATTAATATATCGCAGTATAGTAGCATTACTATTTTTTATTTTTTTTTTTTTGTGTTGAAAAAAAAATCCCCCGTTACTTAATTCTCGGTACGATAGCGCTCAATATATAAATATTATATATACATATAAATTTTGTTTTTTTTATTTATTGTGCTTTAATTTGGATATAAACCCGAAATGGCAAACAAATATTTAATGGAGCTTAATATCGATGAATTAAAAAATGAAGCGCGGAAACGGAATCTACAGACGCAAGGGACTAAAGCCGACTTGCTAATCATGTTGGAAAGCCACTTGTTGAACGTAGAGAAAGTTGAGCCCGCCAATGTAATATTTAAGTTGGATAGTGTCAAAAACCAGTCCATTAGTGACGCCAATGATGACGGTAAAAACCAAAACGGTATAAGTGACAACGTCAAGGAAACTCGACGTCTGTTAGACGGCCCCGAAATGGAAAACCGTCTAGGCACACTGGAAAACGGTTTTGACACGATATCCGACCGCGTAGTAGGTTTAGACACGGACATCGACATTATTCAAAACCGACTAAAACAATTTAATTTGTTAATTGGGAGAATAGGTCGATTAGAAAATATTTTAGCCGACTATGGACTCCTAAAACCGTTTGCAACGGAAACGGACCAACCGACGGAAAATATAACGTTGTCTAAACACGCGCAATCTTTGTCTTACCCTAAACCACACCAAAATGACGGAATAAATCAGGAGACAGTCAGCCACTCGTCTATGTACCCGTCTTGTTCAAAAAACGGAATAGACCCGCCTACTGCCTCCTCAAATTTTGAACCGGTTATAAATAAAAGTGTTGGTTTAGGAACCGAATATAATGAAATTTTATTCCCCAACCCGATTAATTTTATAAACGGAACCACCGGACAGAGCTCGAATAATTTTTTTTATCAAGAACCACAACACAACATAAGTGGAATGGTAAAAAATAACTATGGGCGTCCGAGTGGTCAACCGAATGTAACTTTTGGAGAGGGAATAATTTTTAATAAGCACGGGCTAAATAGCACGGCTCATCAAAATTCGTTTTTATTACCGCAATATAAAATAGATGTTGTCCGAAATTCTTTACCCGAGTTTAGCGGAAAGAAAGTTGAGGACCCCAAACGGTTTTTGAGCGCCGCCGCTAGCGTACTCGTCGAAGCTGATGTGCCCAACGAAAAATGGGTAAAAGTGTTAACCCCACAGTTAAAAGGCAGCGCAGGCACTTGGTGGGGAACACTGCGCGCTCTAGACCCCTCATGGCCCGAATTTAAAACCGAGTTTTTGGAACAATTCGACGGCCACGGGATAAGGAAACAAATCCGCACAGAACTGTTAAGTTGGAAACAAAACCCGACTCAGTCCTTGCGCGATTTTGTGTTAGAAAAATTTCAACTGTTTCGGCGCCGCGATTGTGGCTTATCCGAATTAGAGGCAGTTGAAACGGTATCCGACTTAATGCGCGCTGAGTATCAGGCTCTCGTTCGTGTAAACGCACCGCAGTCATTTTTAGAGCTAAGGGCGTTAGCGACAAAAATCGAGGTGAGTCGCGAACCGGAAAAACCCCCGTACGTGAAACATACGGCTCCGGAGTCGACCGCGCGCAATAACCCACGGAAAAAACCGATTGAATGCTGGCGCTGTGGTGGCCCACATTTCAGTAGGGACTGTGGAAAACCGACAAAGCCGTCGGGAAACGCGCAGAAGACCGGGTGAGGGAAACCCACTCCGGTCAAAAAATTGATAGGGAAAAACCCAGTAGGCAGGGAAATACCCGGGAAAAACCCGAATCTTCGGAGGTACCGGTAAAACCACTTTTTGGGGCGTCCCTTACACGCGACTCTGTAAAAGAGGGCGAAAAGCTGGCGCGCAAACCCGAAAAAATGGTAAATACCCCCCTACTAGACCTACTTAATATGAACAAAACGGACATACCGACGGAAGTGGTTATATCACGAACCCGACGCGATTCAGAAACCGATTCTTTATATGAATTACGACAACAATTTGCCACACATGTCAACGCTACTCTTGATGCTCAACGACACCAAACAGAGGAGTTAACCGGCGACGCTGAAGTAAGCGAGCCGAGCGAAAAACTCAAGAACTTGATGGTGATCGACGGACCGGTTCAAGAGGAAGAGCGTAACCAGACCGACAGGAGTGTAATGCCAACACCGGCAGTGGAATTGGAGTTCCCGTCGGGCGAAGTGGTGGCACTACTGGACTCTCAAGCTGGACGGACTTATGTACGGAAATGGATTGCCGAAAAATATGGGAATCCGATATCAGGACCGGAAGTAGTAGCCCGTATGGCTGACGGAAGAGTCATCAACGTGAACGGCTACTGTGAGCTTCATGCAAAAATATCGGGACTGGAAGTTAGAATCATGGCGGCAGTGTTAGATCAGCTCACAACGGACGTGTTGCTGGGCCACGACTTTCTAGTGGAACAAGGTGCTTCATGGGACTACAGCGCTGGTACTATTCATCTGGGCAACGACCAGAGGAAGACTATCAGTTGGCGACGGCCCCAGAAGACAGAAGAAAATACGCTTAAGCCGGTAGACCTGACAGAGGTGGAACTGCCGGTAGGCTATATGGGTGAACAACTAAGGAATGTGTTAACACAGTACCCTACAGTATTCAGTGGACAAGTTGGTCGGACACGGATAGTAGAGCACGAGATACGTTTAAACGACCCAAAACCCGTAGCACTAAACCCGTACCCATACACCAAGGACAAGAGGGCAAAGATCAACGACACGGTCAAGGAAATGGAGGAACAGGGCTTTGTAGAACCAAGCATATCGCCGTGGGCCGCCCCTGTAGTACTAGCAACTAAGAAGGACGGTACACATCGGTTTTGCGTGGATTACAGGCGCTTAAACCTCCAAACCGAGCCCGACGCATACCCTATGCCAAACTTGCACGAATTGATCCGGACAATGGGAGGAGCCGAAGTGTTTAGCACATTGGACCTAAAGTCCGGTTATTGGCAAGTGAGCTTGAGTCCAGAAGCGCGTCCACTTACCGCATTTCGTACTGATAACGGTCTTTATCAATTTCGGGTTATGCCGTTCGGACTGCGCAACTCTCCAGCCACATTCTGTCGCCTAGTGGATGAAGTATTCCGAGGTTATGTGGGACAGTTTGTACGAGTGTACTTGGATGATATTGTGGTCTTCTCAAAAACCAACAAGGATCATCTCTACCACTTACACAAGGTACTGGAGCGCCTAGCCAAATTTGGACTAACGTGCCAACCAAAAAAGTGCAAATTTGGAACGCGAAATATAAACTTCCTTGGACATATGATCGATGGTCAAGGAATCGACACGGAAATCGGAAAATTGGATATCATTAGCCGCTTTCCCACACCAAAACGACTGAAGGAGCTTCAGCGTTTTCTGGGAGTTTGCGGATGGTACAGCCAGTTTGTAAACCGATACACAGAACTCACAACACCGCTAACGAACCTGTTAGCCAAAGGGGTCAAGTGGCACTGGACGAATTTGGAACAGGACTCATTCGAGCGGGTAAAGTTAGCATTAGTATCAGCACCAAGACTCAGCCCTCCGGACTATTCAAAACCGTTTTGCTTGCAAACGGATGCAAGTGAGGTGGGCGTTGGTGCCATACTGTATCAACGCGGGACACCACCACATGAGAAAAGGGTCATCAGTCACGTGAGTAAGAAATTGAACTCAGCACAAACCCGTTACTCAGCAGTGGAGAGGGAGTGCTTAGCTATCATTTTTGCGGTTGATAAGTTCCGTCCTTATCTGGAAGCCAGGAAATTCGAATTGCTTACAGATAGTGCGGCATTAAAGTGGTTACAGACGGCACGGGATAATAATAGTAAGCTAACCCGATGGGCACTTACCCTTGGAACTTACACTTTCGATATTAAACATGTGCCCGGAACCCAAAATGAAGCTGCAGACGCACTATCAAGAAATCCGGCAGATGGACCAACGGTGGACGAGGAACAACTTGAAAACAACCTCATTGAACCACCGCTTGGGGACAAACCAGCAACACATAAGGACGAACTGTTCAAGATATCCGGACACGACTTCACCGATCACCTTACACTGCAGGAGATCACCGAATGGCAACGGAATGACCCAGACATTCAAAATCTGATACAGATGACCAAGCAAGACACCAGAGAACAACCATTTCGACTCGAAAAGGACTTGGTGTACCGGATAACTCCACGAGATGAGGGCGATGATATCATAGCCATAGTAATACCCGCCAATAAACAGGAACGGATACTATGGAGATATCACGATCATGAGACTGCCTCGCACCCGGGTTGGAAAGAAACCTGGAGGGCCATACAAAACCGCTTCTACTGGAAAGGGATGCGGGAGATGGTATTGCAATACGTCCGGGAATGTCGAGTATGTGCTTGTACAAAACCACTCAACAGGAAACCGGAAGATGCGATATCAACACGAGTACCACGGCAGCCTTGGGAAGTCCTGAGCATTGACCTTATGGGGCCTTACCCCCGATCAGCTCGGGGTAAAACGTTTATACTCGTCGTAACGGATTGCTTTAGCCGATGGGTAGAGGCTTTCCCCATTGGAACCGCAACAACTCGGGTGATTATAGACGCGTTGGAGCGCGAGGTATTTCCACGTTTTGGGTTCCCCCGCGTACTACTATCAGACAACGGCCCCCAATTTGTGTCAAAGGCAATGAAACAGGCGCTGAACCACTGGGGAACAGAAGGGTGGACCACTCCGGTCTACCACCCACGAGCAAACCCAGTGGAGAGACGGAACCAGAAGCTAAAAAAAGGTCTGCGAGCTCAACTACGCGATAAACCACATCGTCTATGGGATACGTGTTTACCCTCTTTACTGTTCGCGATACGGAATCGAAAAAACTCGAAAACTGGCTATACCCCCTCTCAGCTAGTTCTAGGAAGGGAAGCCAAAGCGCCGGGTGACTGGATCCTATTAGGATCCAGAATCGAATTACCCGTAGAAGCCGAACTTAGGAGGAAACGCGCTAGGGTAGTGATAGGGACCCCTAATGACAAACAGGTAGGGAAAACCCTAGACAGGTTCTCGATAGGAGATTGGGTGTACTACCGCAGTCACCCACTCTCAAACGCAGCAAAGGGATTTCACGCGGGGTTTGCGTCTAAGTGGATAGGACCAGTGAGACTGGGAAGTTCCTTGGGGAATGGTGTTTTCTTCACGGAAACTAAGCCGGTCATAAAAGTTCACTGCTCCGCGCTAAAACCCGCTTATGTGACCAATTACCCTACGCTAATTTCAGATGTCGCAACCCCCAGTGAAACGAGTACGAGAAGAAGGCGGCCGAAGCGGCAAGCGCTTTCGCCCTCCAGCGACAACCGTCAAATCCGTAGTCCACCAGATGGAGGGGTGGATAAAGGGTCACCAGGACGCCATCGCGGGCCTGCAGGTGGCCATCCGCCGGATGAGAGGATCTGACGAAAGGAGCGAGGAGGGGTCACTTCCGAACCCCCGAGGAAGCCGGTGGTCGATACGTCTACTCAGACGTATCTACCACCGGTGATAACCTTGGAGTGGGCGAAGAAGGCGACCCTCTCTGAAATACGGGACGATCCGGTGGCTCGTGAACTACACCATCGAGGATGGTTATTGGGCACCCGGACAAAGGAGAGGTCACGACCCGGAAAGTCTGGAGTGACCTCACAGGTAAGAAAAGGTAATAGTAAGGCTGATCTTAGGGCTAGCGAGGCAAGCTCAACACCCGGCACAGCTGGAATGCCCCCCCTAGTACGCCTAAGAGCAGAGGCCCCAGGTAAGGTAGACCAAAGACCGGCGCCGAGAGCGCTGGGACGGCCTAGCCAGGTTCAAGTAGGGACGAGAGGAAGGATGGGAGCCGATACAGGTAAGACCGTCCGTACCCACTCGGCCCCACCCCCCAAGAAAGTGGCCACGCCACCGGAAGATAATTACTTCCGGAGGCCCCACTCAACAACAAGGCCGTTAACTGCCCCGGGAACCAGTACCTCTCCAAAAATCGTTACCCGGAATGCGTATCATGCGCAGCTGGAACGTGAGGAGGAACGGCGACTGCGTCACTGCAAGCCGCGGAGCGTTCCGTTCACAGCGGCAACAGCGGCGATGACGGCAACAGCAGCGACGACGACGACAGCAGCGACGACGGCGACAGCGGCGACGGCGACAGCGGCGACGGCGACGACAGCGGTCACGGCAGTGGCAACGATCGACCTCACACTCGATGTCGCCGACGAATCGGGAACGAGGGAGGTGGCAATGGAGGTGGACCCCGACGACACGCTCCAACTAGCCGTCGGGCAGTTGGATCTCATGGACGATATCCTCGGGGCCCAGAACTACGACCTGCCGGATGTGGAGTTCCTCCAGGACCTTTACTACACGCCGCTGACGTCACCCGAGCCCGTTCAGCAATAGCCGTCTGAGTAAGCTGCCTTGGGGATGCTTAATGGGCCATTGGGGGGGAGAATGACACGGTCGGGTATTGCCATCACCGCGGCCTGGACTATTACCCGGACCGCGATGACAATACCCGGCCGGGCCGTGCTTCCCTAATTGCCCATTAAGCAAAACCCCGGCGCAGCTTATCAGCAATGTTGACCGCCGCCGGTAACATAAATACGGCCGTCACCGGACCGCCGTGCATCAATAGTATTATTATTGTCGTGTGATACTATAGCGTAATTGAATAAACGGTGACTAACGTACACAAGTGTTGTTATTTTAATTATTACTAAGGGTTTAATTACTCCGAACGTCTACGGCCACGACAGGATAGCCTTTGAGAACTGCACTATTTATAAAAGAAGACGAACACTTTGGGACATATTAGTAGAGGCTAATACATTCGATTTCCCCAATAGATTTCTTAAAGGTGTCGAACAACAAGTTAAAACGACATTTAGAAATCGTTTTAGTAATTTACGACCCTACAACGTTAGCATGGCATTAGTCATAGCTGTCCAAGACAAAGACTATTTAATATCACAAATTACGGGGGAACTACCTAATATGGATTATGAAGTGGACGAGATCATAGACTAGGCTATGCCTAAAAAGTTCTAAGGGGGACAGGACTTGTCTCTCTTCACACCGAACTGGTATGGCCCTGTCTTGATTAAGTCCACCCCTCCTTATTTATCTAAATAAAATTGCTCGTACCTCATTTAATGAAGACGGACGTGTTGTTCCCCATGGTTCTAGGAAAGGCAGGACTTGTCTTTTCTCACACCGAGCTCAAGGACACACCGACGTCAGGTAGATTATGATTAATAATAATTAATAAGATTATAACTCAGTCAAAATTATAGAGAGAGAAAGATGCTTTTATCATAGATTCTAAATTAACTGAAGATATTATCTAAGGTAAACTGTAATTGTATTTTAAAAATATTATAATGTCAATTTAAAAAAAAATATATATTGTGCTATGAAAAAAAAATATATATATTGTATTGTACTTTGATGAAAAAAATATATTGTAATTGTAATTGAAAAAAATAATAAGAAATAAAATATATTGTAATACTAACCTATATACTAACCACTAATTTTGAATGTTATAAAACTAAACTATATGTAAAACTAACTATTAACCTATATATATATTCACTATATATCCAAATGTATAACCATATAATGTATAACTTTTATATTGTAATTTTAACGATATGTAATGATACACAGACATGTAATTAAGTATTGTCAAAGATGTTTTATCCATAAATGTACAAAACATCTTTTTTAAGGGAGGGAAATGTAATGGGTTACCAAGTCCAGCCATGTTTACGTCATGACCGATTTCTCCTTGAATACTAATATGTGTACGACCGAAAGGAGTTATTCTATACTTTGTATAAAACCAAAATGTAAACAACGTCATAAATTGTAAAATCCAAATTATAAATTGTAAAAGCCAATTTATTTATGCAAATTATATATTTTGTACAACTGAAAGATTGTAAAAACGCACAAACAAACACATAAATTGTATCTATCCGACAATGTTAGGCACTTAGCAGAAGACAACTTGGCCATTCACCAACAACCCGGATTAACGCTTGCACAACTGAGAAAAGGTCACCGAGGCGGGGATTCGAAGAACTCCTTCCACCGAACCGGATGGACATTTTGCGTAAATACCAGCCGTTTCGCCACAGCACCCTCAGAAGTGTTCTTGGCCGCGTATTATTACATACCTGCAACAAGCACTTACTTTATTATCTGTGTATCAACTTAAATGCTTATATTGGAATACATGTATTACCTATTTTAATTAAAAGTATTAACTTTATTTACGAAACATCCATCTTCCTTCTTCAACCACTTGTGTGTTAAAGTATCCAAAGGCCACAGACTGCTGGAACTTTACAA